TTTTTAGGGTCCCGGATGTATTATTCATTATTAGGGTGGGTTTTATTAATAGGGGGAAGGGATTAAGGGGAATACTAGGAGTTTAGACAACGGTTCATGTAACTTCTGTATTATTCCCATTATGGTCCCATGGAATCTAGTCCACTCATACCAATTTTTAACACCACCCCATGCTGCCCTTGACCTCAGATATGTTCACCGATATGATAGGGTCTCACCCTAAACGCTAGAACTCAATACCTTACACTTTGGAATACTTAATATTCGGATTAAGATTTTAGATTTCCCTAAAACCTGAACCCTAAATCCTAAACCTGGTTTTGTTGACTTCTGACTCTTGCTCCTTAGGCGGCCATGCAAAGAAGCAGGCGAGAAGCAAATCCGCGAGCCTGGCGCCAACGTTTGAACCCCAGAAAGTCAGGCTCTGCGCGGTTTAGAGTTTAGGATTTGGGTTTTAGTATTTAGGGTTTTGGGCTTAGGGATGTTTAGGGGTTCGGGGTTGGGGTGGGGTGGGGGTGGCTGGTAAGATTCAATTATTTTGAGGGTTTAGGGGTTTTGAACTAGGGTTGCACCTGTAGTTTCAGGTTTTTCCGGGGTTTTGGCTTTGGAGCTTGGGATTTAGGGATACACCTGCTTTAGATCCCGTATCCGTCCCAAGGAAGTGATTGTGTCAATTCCGAACCCTTGCTTTGCTGACTTGTACAGCCTTTGTCTCTTGAAAAGGTTGGCTGCACCTCTACTTCTGCCATTCTGAGGTTTCGAACGTGATGGGGTAAGCATCTAGAAATGGGAAGTTATGGTGTCCTCATCCTGAAGCATAGCAGCCATGCATAGCCATGCCACTTGTTATGGCGAGGCTGCTGGAAAAAGGAGATTCGCCAAACAGTGGCCAAACAAACAGCTCATAGGCAGCAACGGTCTTGCTCAGGTCCCCTGCTTGTTCCTCGTCGCCAAAGGCCGCTACCTCGGGCACCGCAGTTTTTCCCGCAGGTTTCCTTACAGCTGAGATGAGCTATCGTCTAAACTCCTTGAAGGGGGGTTATATAGAGGATTCTATAGGGGAGTATGATAGGAGTTATTGAAGGGGATAGTAGGTGTTTTCAGATGCATTACATCATCGAATTGACGTTTGCGAGAAGTCCTACGGTCTTTGAAGGTCAGCCAGGTCAGTCTGTTCCAGTTGCAGTACTCATAAGAGTGTGTCAACTTAAGAGTCTACAGCAGATTTTCTTGGTTTTCGCAACCCAGAGGATGAATGCCATGCATGGGGATAATCTACTACAAAGTCTTTCGTGACTGATGCCGTTTCAATTAGGGCATGCTGAAGATGATGGACGATCAGGAATCTCCTGTGTTAGGATTACTATATAAGCTTACCTGATGCCAAGCTTACCGACTTCTGGAAAATGTTTCTATCATTGTATTAGTGTCATTATCATGAACTTTTCACGGGCCCGAAGACGAAATGCCAGTTGCCCTTCGCAGGAGCGTCAACATTTTCCAATACCTCCTGTTCAATCAATGCATATTTCTGTATGATATGGACACATTCTTGAATTTTGTAAGTACTGTTCCTGCAGCATGCCTGTTTAAAAACATGCTGCAAGTAAGAGCTACCTCTACCAAGCCCATATGCCAATAATCTCGAACCCCAATCCCTCCACCATAGTCATTGTGTTTCAAGGTGGAGGGAAATCTGGGTTGCTGTTAAGGAACTTAAATTACGTTACCATAATGGGTATATATGGTAAATTATAGGGTTTCCCCAATATAGTAACTTAATTTAAGTCCCTTAAATCCCTATATTCCCCCAGTTTCCATTTCATTTTCCATTTTCTTTTCCATTTGATTCTCCATTATAGGGGGGATAATCCCTA